TAGACCACTGAGCAGGTATCTAACGGTGTTAATGTCTAACTTGATCAAATTCACGCGTTCGCGCACAATACCGAAGGTCCTGGGTTCGAATCCTGCGGGGTGCAGGAGTCGTGGATGCGCACTGCTGAGGAGTCCCATACCAGGAAGAAACGGCCGTCCAATGCTTCCAGGTTTCTAATGGTGTTGGTCTAGCATTGTTCGGTTCATGGTTTCAAAAATGTGTAACTTAACAATCTTCACAACCCCGTAATGCAAATACTATAATGAACAAAATTTCTTATCTTTAAACATGTGTTCATATTTTGTGTTTTTTGGTTTTTTTTATTCAAGCCTATCCACTGATTATTTATTTATTGACTGACTGATAAACTGTTTTTTTATTTTGATTGATACTTATGTTTGTACACATGTGTGTTGGTTGTTGTTGTTATTGTTGTGCGTGTGCGTGTACGTGTACGTGTGTGTGTTGGTGTATGTTTGCTTTGCTTTGCTTCGTTTACAAAATTTTTCTGCTAGCTATCTGTCTGTCTGATTTACACATTGATTTGCACCTTTTGGTCAATATGTTATGTAAGCATGTTGGTTAGTTGGTTGGTTAGTTAGTTAGTTAGTTAGTTAATCGGTTGTACAGATCCGTTTCATTTTGCAACAGAACGTTTCGTTAAACTAGGTGTCTAATTTAATGTTGCTAACTGTTGATTGGTGTAGGAGAGTCAGTCGGTTGAAAGAAAGTCACTAAATGGTCAAACAAAGATGTATTAGCAGTTCTGTGGTTTATTGATTATTAATTATGATTGGACTGATCTATATCGGCAGGTTCAGACCATGTGGTTGTGGTTTGTATAATTAGTGGTAATCAGTGTTTAGTTATTTCAGTGTACTTGAAATCATGAATCGATCAATGTTAGACTGCCATTAGAAAGGCCCGACCTTAGCTGCTACCTTGACGTGGTGGTCAGGCTTGCCTATCGTCATGACCCAACCGAGCTATATTGGCTGGAACATATGTTCTTGAAGGTTCTACCATGGCAGGCAGGTCGATTGGAGAACGATGAGACTAAATACAGCTACTCAAGGTCTTAGGGAGAAGTCGTACTGCGGACTGACTGTGGAGGGGTGTGATAGCAGTAAGGTGTTTCCCTCGGACAACCAGCATCTGCAGCGATGCTGACTTCTGACAAGGAAGGGAGGGGTTAGAAAAGGTCGACCCTCAAAATGTCACACCTCACTCTACCTCACGGATTTCCATCTCCGGTGGTAAGGGTGTCCAATAAGGGTTTTCAAGAACGGAGCTAATACTCAAAAAACCCTTCATAAAAAGGCCGTGCGTGATCTGCCTCAAGCAGTTATCCCTTGGACTCTGCGCTCACACTCCCAGATCTCCAAGACCAACACTAATCCACCTTCCTTTTCAGGTTCCTCCAGAAACAACCTTCCACGGTGTGGGCAGCCGGGAAGTGACAACCGCCCTCATACCCGTACCAGCACACGAGACCAGTAGAAAGGAACCCGGAAGCACACTGGCCAGCCGCTTTGTCCTGGTATTCAACTCATCAACAATACGACACCGTAATCGAGAATTCAAATTAAATACTTCGATGAACTTCAAAATTACCTTGCTATTATTCTAGGAGTTCATTATTTCACTCCTTGAATCATATTATCTGTACTTACTGTTTTCTACTATCACTATCACTTATAGTACTTTGGCAATCTCGCTGTTGAACCCATGGATGATTGCTTATGGTCGACGAGCTGAGGTTCATCAGGAAAACTAAATAAAACAGGATAACAGCGTAAGATGACTGTATTCTACTTCGGATCCTATAGTCTAGAGCATACCTTTTGCCTATTGCCCTCACGTCAAAAGTTTAGCTCCGAAGAACGGTACGGTACTTCCAGGTTTACAGTGCTTTTCCAGCTGAAACTAGCTTGTAGTGAGGTCGAAATCAGGATCAAATCACTCTTCACATACGAAAAATCGTGTGCTGACTAATAACCAATGCTGATGGTTAATTCCTGTAGACTGTAGTTTCAACTAGTAGGGTTCAGTAATAATATTGATGAGTATGAAAATAGTTATCACTTGTCACAATACAATGAGTTCTTGGTTCTACAGTTCAGCTGTCAACTACTAAGTTGCATCCACTCTTTGTGTTCTCCCTAATTCTAACTTTCTGAATTCCTCATAATCTCTATCTTTCTCCTCACAAATTTGTTTCACTGAATTATACTTCTCGAATCATATGTTCGCTCCCTAATCTTCTCCATTGCTGCTAATAATTCTACTATCGCTATCACTGTTGGATTTGAACTGACAGTTACGTCTCTGTTTTGACATGGTATGGCAACCTGAATTGATGTACTTACGTACGAAGTTCTGCGTTGTATCTATTTATCTGTCTACTAAGTTGCCGAACCGAACCCTGCTATACTTACTTCGGTTTAAGAAACTAGATAGTATCATTCAGCTTCCCAGTTGATTTTTAGTTGTGTTATGCTCGTCAGTCGATGTACCTGAAACTATTACGAGTTCACCTTAGTCTGTGGATGAGAGCTAAGACAAATGATCCGTTGACACGATAGGCTACTCTAATCCGAGCGTTCCTAACCCCCACTAACGGTATCAAAAAGTCGTGATATGGCGTAGAAAGTGTATTCTACAAGCACCCAGAAAATATGAGGTTTATACAGTAGTAGAAGAAGAAGTGGAGCATAAAACTTTTGCATATTTATACAGTTAGGTGGACCATGAATAATAACCAATAGGAAAGAATATTTAAAAATAAGTGAATTTGACAGTTTAGGACGACCTTAAATATTGACCAATTGAATTACAAAGTACTTTAGGATACTTGATGAATATCGACAACGGAATTCTCAAACTCTATCCATTCATGCTCTTGGATAACACCTCTTAACTAGCGAGATAGATATCTGTACTTAAAATGAACTAAATTCTCAAATTTCTCTTAATTCACAACAATTTTTTTTACAGTTTGGGGTGAATTGGTAAACAGTTTTACTACTGCATCAATACAACTTTTAAATAATAATGTTTGAAAGGAATAAAACGATATTCTGTGAATAGAAAAAAAAATTTATTATTGATATTCTTCATAAATGTTTTACGTGTTCTCACTAGTGACCAATCTCCGTGAGGAAATTCTAGGAGTTCTAATCAGAAACTGTGTGACCAGTGGAGTTCAACCCTATTCGGTGTAGGCAGTAGCTACCGAAGGCAATAGGTGTGGTTACACAAGACTTTAGATTGATCAGTGTTAGACATTGACATCACTGAATAGCGGCTGGCTCAGTGTTCCAGAGGTTAAGCGTTCTCGCGCAGGACCGAAGTCTTTGGGTTTGAATCCTGTGAGCAGCAACAGTCGTGTATACATATCACTGATGAGTCGCATACCAGGACTTGGCGGCCGTCTTCCAGTGCTTCCAGATATCTTTCTAATGGTGCTCTAACAACAATGATACATGCATAATTTCAATGTGTAAAAACACCGATCTCCATGACACTGTAATGCAATATTATTTATTTAGAAATATGTTTATTATTTGTAAAGTGTATTATAGATGTTTCCAGAAGACTCTCAGTGTATTCTAACTCTGTGTGATTAAATACAAAACTTTACTTTCCAGGGCTTTCATGTTGAATGTGTTCATCAAAATAAGTCATTTTTTTGAGGATAAAAACTGATTTTAACTTGTACGATTGACTATGGTTATCAGTGAAATACCTGATCTGTGCGGTTGGTTTTCAATTCATGGCGATAAATAGTGTATAGTTTGTAAAACCTGAGAGCACAAGTCAATACCCTTATCATCTTACTTACTTACGCCAGTTACTCCTGATAGAGGATAATTAGCCGAATAACATTCCTCAATCTGCTGTTAAAAATCTTAGACAATTGGCCGTTATTCATTGAGAACTTATTAACTATGTGTTTGCGAGAGAATTAGTGACCGATGGTTAGAGACGTTGTATGATATGACTCAAAATCGTTCGGTTTAGCATGGGTGCATCCACTATTTGTGTTCTCTCTAATTCGAATCTTCTGAATTCCTTATGAACTTTATCTTTCTTTTTTTAAATTTATTATTTCACTGGATTATACTTCTTGAATGATTTCCTTGAACCTGAATCTTTTCTATTACCGCTAATACTTCTACTACTATGGAATTTGATTTTGACCAATTTGGTCTCGTGTGCTGTTACGGGTATGAAGGCGGTTTTCACTTCCCGGCTGCCCTGATCGTGGAAGGTTGTTTCTTGAGGAACCTGAAAAGGAAGATAGATTAGTTTTGGTCTTAACGACCTGGAAGCTTGACCGCAGAGCCCAAGGGACAACTGCTTGAGTCCGGTCACGCACGGCCTTTTTATTAAAGGTTTTTTTTAGTATTAGCTCAGCTCTTAAAAGCCCTTAGTGGGCACCGTTACCGACGGAGACGGAAATCCGTGAGGTAAACTGAGGTGTGACATTTTTACGGTCGACCTTTTCTAACCCTTCCTTCCTTCGCTGTGAGAAGGCAGCATCGCTGCAGATGCTGGTTGTCCGAGTGAAACACCCTACTGCTGTCATTTCCTTCTGCAGTCAGCAGTACGACTTCTCCCTAAGACCTTGAGTAGCTGCCTTTAGTCTCATCTTTCTCTAATCGACCTGCCTGGTATGATAGAACCTTCAGGAACATATGTTCCAGCCAATATAGCTCGGTTGGGTCATCACGATATGCAAGACCGATCACTACGTCAAGGTAGCAGCTACTGTCGGGGTATTTTGGGATTTGAATTGACAATTCAATCTTTCTGTGTGTTAATGCGGTAAGACAACTTGAACACTGATATACGTGCACATACCAAATTCTGTGTTGTAGCTGACTGACAGACTGACTGACTTGAAGCATTTTGGTAAATGCTTTTACGTTATGTTTTTTTGTCGGATATAGTCACAACATCAAACCATTTCTCGTAATTTCTATTCTAATTTTAGCAATCCTCCTTATTACATATTGACAAACTGTTAAATCATCAAGATGAACTGTATCCATTTATGCAATATATGAAATCAGTCAAATCTATTGAACCTTTAACAGTGTTGCTGTTAATGTGTAAGTCTTCCCCCCATTCAATGCATTCAATTTTTCAATCATTTTTTAATGCCATTTTGCTTGTTTTTTTGTTCTAAATTGTATTGAACATTTGAACATTGAACATAAAGCAATTGTTGTCATCATTTCGTATTGAAGATTGAACTAGTAGTATAGATAGAATGAGATAGAGTATACTATTAGAGACTATGGAAATATATGCTGACGGACATTATGTCTCTCTCTCTCTCTCTGTGTGACCCTTATTTCCTTCGCAAAAAAAACAACTCTAGATTATAAGGGATGTGGATAAGCTGGATAGCTAGCTAGCTGACCGTAGACAGAGTCCAGACGATAACTACTTGAGACCAGTCATATGTGGCTGTTTTTCTTATGTGTGCGTGTGTGTATGAATAGATTTTGGTGTGTTAGGTGTGTACTTTGGAATAGGGTGAAAAGTTCTACTGTATGGAGCGGAAACCTGGAGAACTACCAAAGCCATCATCCAGAAGATACAAGTGTTTATTAACAGCTGTCTACGCCAGACACTATCAGCGACAACCTACTGTGGGAGAAAACAAACCAGATTCCAGTGAGGGAGGAAATCAGGAAGAAGCGGTGTAAGTGGATAGGACACACATTGCGGAAAGCACCTAACTGCGTCACAAGACAAGCCCTCACATGGGACCCTCAAGGCAAAAGGAAAAGAGGAAGGCCAAGGAACACATTGAGCCGAGAAATAGAGAATGATATGAGAAGAATGAACAAATATTGTACAGAACTGGAGAGGGAAGCCCAGGACAGACAGAGTTGGTTGGCGAAAACTGGTGGGCGGCCTATGCTCCATTGGAGGTATCAGGAGTAAGTAAGTAAGTAAGTAAGTAAGTTAGTAAGAAAAGTACTATTTTCTAAGGTCAATGTTTTGGAATTCGTAGTGGCTTAGTGGTGGTTATGAGTGTTTGACTTTTATTACCGTCAAATTCTGGGTTTAAACCCCACTCCACTGTATTTGTTTCGATTCGGGCCACTGGGTTCTACTGTCATTAGTTAGATTTAAAATTTAGAGTGTAGCTTATATTCAATTAGCCAGTAAGTGAGTTGAAGACGTGGATAGGCAAAGCAAGAGCAGTATTTCTACAGTTAAAGAACATCTGCAATTTAAATCAACTATCAACCAACATCAAAGTTAGGATTTTCAATACAAATGTCAAGACAGTCATACAGACAGACAGACAGATACAACTCAGAACTTCGTACGTAAGTACATCAGTTCAGGTTGCCATACCACATCAGTACTGAGACACAACTGTCAGTTCAAATCCAAGAGTGATAGCGATAGTAGAAGTATTAACAGTAATGAAGATTAGGGAGCGAAGATATGATTAGAAAAGTATAATTCAATGAGATGAATTTAGAAGGAGAAAGATAGAGATTATGAGGAATTCAGGTTAGAATTTCATAGAACACAAAGAGTGGATGCACTTGCGCCATTGCAAACGATTTCGAGCCAAATCGTTCAAGGTCTCTAACCATTGGTGATATTCATCTCGCGGACCTTAACCAGCTAGCCTACATCTACCAGCATGACTCAGTCTACTTGTCAATGACTTCATGGATTTCTGCCATGTTTTGGTTTGGCCACCACTAGATTTCTTCTAACTTACTCCTACACCACAAAACATAGCTTGTCGCGGCAGTCGGTGGTTCGGCATACGTAACACATGTCCTAACCACCTCAACTAGTGAAGCTTCACTACTTCGTTTACTGATTTGCCAAGACAGTCATACTGTATAAGGTGGAAATTAGGAGAACTACCAAAGCCATCATCCAGAAGTTACAAGTGTTTATCAGTAGTTTTCTACGCAGAATTCTTCGGATTTGTTGGCTAGACACCATCAGCAACAACCTACTGTTGGAAAGAACAAACTAGATTCCAGTGGAGAAGGAAATCAGGAAGAAGCGGTGGAAGTGGATAGAATACTCATTGAAGAAAGCACCGAACTGCGTTACAAGACGCCCACCCCCACGTGTAATACACGAGGCCGACGGAAAAGTGGAAGGCCGAGGAACACATGACGTCGAGAAATGGAGGCATACATTAGAATAATCAATAAAAATTGGACAGAACTAGAAAGGAAGGAGTAGGACTGAGTGGGTTGGTGAATGCTGATCGGCAGCCCATGCCACATTGAAAGTAATAGACGTAAGTAAGTTAATAAATATCATTGTTTTATCACCGTTGCAGTTTGGCAGTATTGATTGATAAAAGATGTTTAATATTTAACAAAAGATACATTTTCTCACTGATACTACTACAATCGACAATATGCTTTCATTCAGGCTTACTTCATATTACTCACTGCTTGTAGTTCTAACGCTTTCCAATCAACCTTCCACCCCAGTCATTCATTACAATATTGTAACCTGATCAATATATATAGGATGTGTATGTTGAGGAAAGCATCTGATTGCGTCACAAGTTAAGTCTTAACTTGGAATCCTCTAGGTCAAAGGAAAAAACTAATATTAAGGGACACATTACACCGAGAATCGAACATCGAATTGAGTAGCGCTAGAAAGATGAGTAGGTTGGAGTGTACTGGTCAGCGGCGGCGGCGACCTACGCTCCACTCTAGGAGTAAATATTAAGGCTTCTTGTCAATTTGTATCATTTTTATACACAATGAATCTCTACTATTATGATTATTATTATTGTCTTTTGTGTGTGCTTGTGTTTTTTATTTCTTTTCCGCGCTTTATCCCCCTGGCAAAAAATAAAGATCAAATTAATTCACGTGTTGCAAAATTTATGCTATCATCAGATGATTGTCATGAAATCAGTGCACAATTACAACATATTTTAAGTATATTAAAACATCAACTCTACTCCTCTACTACTACTACTACTAGTAATAATAATAGTAGTAATAATCATAGTCATAGTAATCATAATGAACAGAAGAACAACACTGAAAAGGAGGAGAATGACCACTTGGTCGATGATACTACTACTGATGCAGATGGTCATCATCATCATCAACGTCATTATTCTATGCAACCCATGTCGAAACTTGAGCCATCTCATCAACAACAACATCTGTCTACAACAAACACTAAAGATTTACAATATTTTTTCAATATATCCAAGGAATTTGAAGTATTAATAAGAAATTGTTTAGAACAACAGTGTACTACACCAGAAACGATTATAAAACTTGTCAATACTACACAATGGAAAAAGTAAATTTTTGCTATGATGAATGTATAGTTTTTAATGTATAATTAGTTAGTGTGTTGTTTTTGAATGCCATACTTATCAACCGAATTTATAACTCTACGCTGAAGCACTTGATTGTGACTGGTTTGGTCTAGTGTGTTGCTACAAGTATGAGGGTGGATGTCACTTTCTAGCTGTCTATACTGTGGAAGGGGATTTTGATTTTGTCCAATTTGGTCTCTCGTACTGTTACGGGTATGAGAGTGGTTGTCACTTCCTGGCTGCCAACACCGTGGAAGGTTGTTTCTTGAGGGACCTGAAAATGAAGGTGGTGCGTGAATGCAGAGTCCATGAGACAACTGCTTGAGTCCGGTCACGCACGGCCTTTTGGTGAAATGATTTTTGAGTATTGGCTCTGCCGGGAACGGAAATCAGTGAGTTAGAGTGAGGTGTGACATTTTTAGGGTCAACCTTTTCTAACCCTTTCTTCCTTATGAGAAGACAGCATCGCTGCAGATGCGGATTGTCCGAGGGAAACACCTTACTGCTGTCACATCTCTCTGCAGTCAGCAGTACGACTTCGCCCTCAGACCTTGGGTAGCTGTATTTAGTCTCATCTTTTTTTTTCAATTGCCCTGCCTGGCGTGATAGAACCTTCAAGAACATACGTTCCAGCCAATATAGCTCGGTCGGGTTATGACAATATTCAAGTCCGACCACCACGTCAGGGTAGCTGCTACGGTCGGGTAGAAGGGGATTACTTGAGGATACTGGAAATTAAGTTGAATTAGTGTTGGTTCTGACGATTCGTGAGCGTGGTCACAGAGCCCGACGAAAAACTACTTGAGGCGTGTCATACACGATCTTCCTATTGGAAGATATTTTTCCCTTGTGTATGTTGAGGTCTACTGCTCTAGTACTGTGTTATTCACTAAGCTAGCGGCGGAGTCTCTTTATCGAGTTGTTCTTCTACGGGAAGGGGTCGCTAACCCCATGCTTAACAGTCGGTCAGTCAGCTACTACGTAGCACTTCGTACATATGTACATCATACCACATTAGTGTAGAGATACAATTGTCAAGTCAAATCCCATAGTGGTAGATGTAATAAAAGTATTACCGGTAATCAAAAAGATTACGGTTCAAAGATATTATTCGAGGAGTGCAATAAATTTAAAAAGAAATAGCTAGAGTTGATGTAGAATTCGGAATATTAGAATTCGAGAAAACATGAATAGTGGATACACCTGCGCCATTCCAAACGATTTTGAGCCATGTCATTCAAGGTCTCTAATCATCGGTTACCATCGTTTCGTGGACGCCAACCAGGTAGTCTACATCTACCAACATGACTCAGTCCACTTGTCAATGACTTTATGGATTTGTGCCATGTTTTGGTCTGGGCGCCCCTAACTTTCTTCCAACCTGCTCCTACATCATGAAACATTGCTCGACGGGGCAGTCAGTGGTTAGGCATACGTAACACATGTTCCAGCCACCTCGACTTATGAATTTTCAATACCTCATCCATTGACCTGCCATTCTTACCTAGAACTCGTTTCCTAACGACAGCATTGCTTATACGGTTGTCCCACGATACACGAGCAATGCTTTGGGGACACCGTTGATCGAAGACTAGTAACCTACGAACATCTACTCTCACTGGTCATGTTTCACAGCCGCAAAGTAGGACTGAGCGAACTGCTGCGCAGTAGGCTCGTCCTTTCGTTAGCGAACGGATATCTTGCCTACGCCATAAGTGACGCAGGTTGACAAAAGCCAATCGAGCCGTTTATATTCGTGCTGAGATTTCGTCAGTCACCAGGCCATCAGCATTGATCAGACTACCACGATCAGTGAAGCGAAATGGCAAGACCAAAAGTGGCACACTAAGTCTCAGCGTGAGGTCTGCTTGCACAAGGGAATTACGACATTTAGGCCTCTTCTTTAGCTAACCAACATTTGCTGCAATGCTGCCTTCTTGTAACGAAAGGAGGGGGTTAAAAAGAATCTATCTTATAAATATCATACGCCTCCCTACAATGTGGTTTTCTGTCTACCGTGCTAAGGTCTTTTAAAGTACGTCACTGACACATCTTAAACTTCCTTTAAAAAGACCGTTTATGATCGACCTCAACTGTTTATCTCTTTGACTCTGTGGTTAGGGTTATACTCTCAGATCGCTAAGGTCATCAGCAGTTCATTTTCTTTTTCATGTCGTCCACGAAAAAATATCCTTTGACCTTAAGGACAATCAGGCAATGTCAACTGCTTCATAACAACAGCACATAAGCCCACTTCACTGCTATACAGACTCCATCTCCATTGGCGACCACCATCAATTTATTTAGTCGATAAATATGTGTAGCTAAAGTAGATGCTTTTCACTTAGTATTTTGATAATTTAACGCTTATGTAATGATATATTCATAACTGGATGTATCTTTATTTTCATTGAAACACATAAACATTGCTATGAAGGAGCATCTGAATGTTTATGCACCACAAAAATTATTGAATTTGGCCAGTGAGCTGGCTGCGATACTGACTGGATGCCTGAACCGAACCGGTTGGTCCTTTGTGGGGAGCCCCACATCTGAATTCTCTCATTCACAAGTCTAATCCACTTGATATTAGAGCAATGTAAGTAGATGCAGTCTCATGGTAGGCGATGACCAACGTAGTAGGTCCATTAGGGATCCTGGGGCTGTTGTGCACCAATAGCTTCCGAGTGAGGTTATTTCAACTCCTCTAAGTAGATCCTCCGTATTCACTAACCTAATTAAATCGTCAGGTCACATGAAGGCAATAAGTAGGACTTTCCTTCTCAGTAGCTGTATGTGAGAGCGTTTCAAGAGAGGGAGCGCAACTTCTACCCAATCTTGAGCGTACTAAAGCATAAGTAATAATCTACACATACCTTTTCATTTCTTTTCCTTTCATTACAGAACTTATCAATCTGTTTGTCAAACAGTTGAATTACGATTTATACCAATGTATTTAGAAAGTCCAGAATACATTAACTATACATTTGGTTTTACACGTAGTCCAACTCCGTCCATATCAACATCATTACATAAAATTGGAGTGTAAGTCCCAGTGTGTGTGTGTTTGTGTGTCGTTTTTCGAATCTATACAGACATATATATATTGCATTGTTGTGTCTTTAATCTTTTCAATTGACTGAATCGTCAAGAGGGGCACCATATTATATATAGTGTAAACAACCTTGATATACTTGTCAGTTGGATATGCTTGAAACTATTATGAGTTCACTTTACTCAGTAAAGGAAAGAACTAAGGTCAACGATACAGTGACACGATAGGCTATTCTAATCCGTTGTTCCTGGCCCTGTTAACTATGGTAAAAAGTCTTGGATAAGGCGTTGAAAAGTGTATTCTACAAGCACCCAGAAAATATGAGGTTGACAAGCACACAAATCGAGTTTATTTATATATGATAGAAACACTTTTACATATCTTGGCAACATCATCGACGAGAAAGGTGGATCCGATGCAGATGTGAGGGCGCGGATTGGCAAACCAAGGGCTGCATTTCCACAGTTGAAAAATATCTGGAACTCCAAACAACTTTCAACCAAAACCAAAAGCAGTATTTTTAATGCAAATGTCAGGACAGTTTTACTGTATGCAGTGAAAACTTGGAGAACTACGAAAGTCATCATCCAGAAGATACAGGTGTTTATTAACAGTTGTCTAAGTAACTACTTCGGATTCGTTGGCCGGACACGATCAGCGACAACGTACCGTGGGAGAGAACAAACCAGATTCTAGTGGAGGAGGAGATGAAGAAGAAGTGGTGGAAGTGGATAGGACACATACTACGAAGAGCACCTAACTGCTTCACGAGACAAGCCCTCACATGGAACCCTCAAGGCAAAAGGAAAAGAGGAAGGCCAAGGAACACACTACGCCGAGAAATAGAGAAAGACATGAGAAGAATGAACAAAAATTGAACAGAACTGGAGAGGAAGGCATAGGAGAGAGTAGATTGAAGAACACTGGTCGGTGGCCTATGTTTGATTAAGGGTGACAGTTTTGAGTAAGTATGTATGTATGTGTTCGGAACGAACGCTGTTCTGTTTTAGTAGTCATTTCTGAGCAACACTCCAGTGTATACTACTTATTAGTTACCACATTGCCAATAATATCCACTACACCAGTGGCCTGTTCTTCACCTCCCGACCGTAGCTGCTACCTTGACGTGGTGGTCGGGCTTTCCTATCGTGATGACCCAACCGAGCTATACTGGCTGGAACATATGTTCTTGAAGGTTCTACCATGCCAGGCAGATCCACTGGATAATGATGAAACTAAAAGCAGCTACTCAAGGTCTGAGGGCGAAGTCGTACTGCTGACTGTATAGGAGAGAACTGGAAAGGGAAACCCAAGACAGAGTTGGTTGGAGAAAACTGGTAGGCGGCCTATGCTCCATTGGGGGTAACAGGCGAAAGTAAGTAAATAAGTAAGTAAGAAACATCTTTTGTAAAGACCGCAAAAATAGCAGCGTACTAAAATAATCCCTGAACCAATGACAGTCAAGGAGTTTCTTAGGGGGGAAATGTAATCTTAAGGTCAACTATCCGACTTATGCGCGAAAACACAAAAATTCCAAAATCAGGACACTTTTCAAGTGAGTTCTGGGCATCTAACGTCCCCAACAAACCTCTTGTCAACCACTTCATTCCTATTGGTCCACAACAATTCCGCCTGTTAAGTCCAGAAATCCCTGCTGAAACTTCACTGTATGAATTATGTGGTTCAAGCATGATATGTATGATCTATGTACCAGGGATACCTGACCATATGATATACACCATAGTAAAAAAATAGTTTAGTGATCGACATATATCTCTATAAATATACATAATTTGTATTCTGATAGATTGTTATGTTTGTTATGATTGACCCCAACTCATGTGATTCATTGAACTGATCTTTATCGATTAATCAATGCAATCCATATATATGTATTGGTTTCAGATCAATGTAAGTAGTATGTGTTGAAACAATTAATTTATAATATTTCACCAGTTGAACTCTTCATATTCATAACTGTGCCTTTGTTACACTAGTATTGTTATAGTGTATGTTTACAAGTGCTATGTTACTTGCTTACTTACTTACTTCAACCTGTTACCCCGAATGGAGCATATGGCCGCCGACCGTTTCTGGTTGGCTTTGTTCGGGTTGAAGTAGTCAACCCCCCATGCTCAACCCTCCTCCTTTATCCGGGCTTGGGACTGGCAATAATCCAGGAAGGGCTCTAGACGGAGTTACATGTGCTATGTCACTGAACTAAAAGTAACCGATCATTAATTATATTTGTAACCATGAATCGATCAATTTTAGACCAACATTAGAAACCTGGAAGCACTGGACAACCGTTTCGTCCTGGTATGGGACTACTCCTCAGCAGTGCGTATCCACGACTCCTGCACCTCGCAGGATTCGAACCCAGGACCTTCGGTATTGTGCGCGATTGCCCTAACCGTTAGACACCTGAGCCGGTATCTAACGATGTTAATGTCTAACTTGATCAAATTCACGGAGTTGCGCAACCTCATACACTGTATACATCCGAACAGGTGTGAACTTCACTGGTCACAATACCGAAGGTTCGAATCCTGCGGGGTGCAGGAGTCATGGATGCGCACTGTTGATGAGTCCCATACCAGGACGAAACGGCCGTCCAGTGCTTCCAGGTTTCTTAGGTGGTCTAACATTGATCGATTCATGGTTACAAATAAAACTTAACAATCTTCACAGCAAATCCGCAATGCATTAATTGTATAACTAAATTAGACTGATCTGTGGAGATTGAGGTAATCCGTAACATTTTTCATTCATTTAATAAAATGAATGAGTGTTGCTTGTTATTATCAAGCTTATTTTCTTTGCTTAAATAAAAACCAATAAATTTGTGATGAGTGGGTTAGGATACTGCGCGGATGCTCAAACCAAGGCAGGTAGCTCTCTCTCAAGGGAGTCGTACCCCCAGACTTTTGACCCAAAAGTCTAATCCACAAGACAGTGGAACAACGTTGGTGACAAACAATAGGTTCACATGCTATTTATTCCATCAGGATAGTAGAGCGCTTATTCGCATTATTATTGATTTGGGATAAGGGTTTTCCAACTTTCACAAAATCCTGTCTAATTCCTGGCCAGACATTCACTTTTCGTCCTCTCTATTTAGGTAAACAATACCTTTTCTATGAGAAGTCAGTGCACATTGGATTCTCCAAGATTTATATTTTCTGGATACTGTGACAGCAACCGCTACTACTACCGCTACTGTGGAATTAGTAGTGACAATGTCATCTCACTTTATTGATGAGATATGGCTACGTGAGCCAGTGTACTCGTATGCTTGGTTTTATGTTGTCTCTGACTGACTGATTTTATTAAGCATATGTGTATATATATATTTCATCTGTTTGCGTTTTCACTTTCAAACAGATCTCCGAAACGTGATATTCGACGAGTAGCAGCACAAAGTACAGGAACAAGTCAACAACAGCAGCAACAAACTGGTCTATTCGGAAATGCATTGAGCAATGTTTTTAGCAGTCAATCTAGTAAGTTAATCATCTTTTTTTTTTCTGACGATGCATCATGCTTCCTCAATGAATTAGATTTAATTGATAAACATTGTAATATCAACTGGGACATATACTTTAATTGTCATCCGCAGGGAATGCATGGTTAGTTTGAGCTTTCTGGCAAGAAAAAAATGTAGAGCAGATGCTACTACCCCGCCTGTAATGCTATGAGATTTGAATTGATAATTCAATCTCTGTATGCTGATATGTCATGTAGAAAATTGAACACCGATGTACATGCGTACGAAGTTCTACGTTGTATCTCACTGGCTTAACCAAGATACGTTAATACAGGTAACTAGTAACAAATAACCCGAATACTTCGGCTCAGGGTGTTCATCTTGTTTCTTTATCTTCAAACAATCACAATCTCCTTAAATCTTAAGAAAATAGTGCATCCTGATATCAACTTACTTAGACACAACTCGAGCGACTGCCACATTATAACTTGATAGAACTTCGTACTTAAGTACATCAGTTCAAGTTGCCGTACCACGTCAGCACAGAGACGTAACTGTCAGTTCAAATCCAGGAGTGATAGTGATAGTAGAATTATTAGTAGCAATGGAGAAGATTAAGGAGCGAAGATATAATTCGAAAAGTATAATTCAGTAAGATAAAGTTAGAAGGAGAAAGGTAGAGATTATGATTAATTCAGAAGGTTAGGATTTGAGAGAGCTCAAAGAATGGATGCACTTGCGCCATTGCAAACGATTCTGAGCCATGTCAGTCAAGGTCTCTAACCATTGGTGACTTTCGTCTCGCGGACCCCAATCAGGTAGCCTACATCTACCAACATGACTCAGTCCACTTGTCAGTGACTGCATGGATTTGTGCTATGTTTTGGTTTGGACGCCCCTAACTTTCTTCCAACCTACTGCGACACCACAAAACATTGCTCGTTGAGGCAGTCGGTGGTTCGGCATACGTAGCACATGTCCCAACCACCTCAGTTGATGAAGTTTCAATGCTTCATTTATTGATTTGCCATCCTTACCTAGAACTCGTTTCCTAACGATTGCATTGCTTATACGATTGTCCCAGGATACACGAGCAGTGCTTTGGATACACCTAGACTAGTAACCTACGAATCTCCTCTACTCTTAACGGCCATGTTTCGCATCCGTATAGTAGAACAGAGCGAACTGCTACACAGTACACTCGTCCTTTGGTTAACAAGCGGATATCTCGCCTACGCCATAAATGACGCAGGTTGGCAAAAGCCAACCGAGCCTTCGGTATTCGAGCTGAGATTTCGTCAGTCTTCAGGCCATCAGCACTGATGAGACTTCCCAGATAAGTGAAGCGGTCTACACGTTCGACTGCTTAACTCCCTATCCCTAGTTCAGGTGCCGATTCAACCCAATCCTGAAGCAATATTTTGCATTTCGATGCAGAGAACCGCATTCCGAACATGCATGCATTGTTGCTTATGGTAGTCAGAAGACTCTGCATTTTGTCAGCGTCTTTACCGAATAGAACTAACTATCTAACTTCATAGATAGAATTTGATTAAACCTAAAGTTGACTTCAACATCCATCAGCTTGATCGCTATTCAACCGATCAACAGTAGAGTTAAGTAAAAAGAACAATAGATCTCGTCAACCAGTATTATCGTTTTCTATTTTTATCAGTATTTTTGTTAGAAAATTATAAGACAAAAAGTACATTACGTATTTTGTGTAGTTTGTACTACATATATATATATATATATATATTTTTCGAATTGTACAAATATGTTTATGTGTGAGTCTGTGTTTGTGTGTGTGCCCATATGTATAAAAACCCTAGAATAATGCACTTTGTGTAACTAACTGAGTATGTTTGAGTTTTTTCATCTATAGTCTGGTTTTCTATGGAACCGATAAGAAACAGCATAGTTTGACTCATAAAATAAAGATTTCTGTGACTATTATGAAGTTTAATCTGCGTTGAGTTTGAGATAATTAGTCGCTGCAGGAAAATCGATAAAAGAGTTGCGCAACATCCTAAATTGATTAAAATTGCATATTAACACTAGTGAATACTCAGTAAATTTGGAAAACCATATCGTAAATCGTTAATTTGAAAAATATCAGTTCATCATATCGAGCTGGACTGTTCCTGTTGCAAAACATCAATCCATTTTCACTATTCATGCGTTTCATACAAATTCCATTGTGTTCCCACTCTTCCTTTCTTGATCTTCCCCCAAATTCTGCTGCCAGACATTACGTTGACACTTACGTCATATACTACTTATAAGTAGCTCGCACCACATACCACCAGCTCAGTGGTATAGAGGTTGGTGCATTAGGCTGAAGGTTTTCTTCCGGTATGTGGAAGTCGTCGATGCTCGGTCAGTTAGCAATAGCCATACATCAGTTCAAGTTGCCGTAGCACGTTGGCATAAAGAGATGAAATTATCATTTCAAATCCCATATTAGTAGAACTATTCGCTGTAATAAAAAATATATTAGGGATCGAAGTTATGAGAAACTCAGAAGATTCGAATTTGACAGAAGTCAAAGAGCAGATGCACCTGCTCCACAGCAAATGATTTTGAGTCATGTCATACCACCGGTTATGATTATCACGTGGACTCCGCTCCAGGTAGTCTATACTTACTAACATGGCTCAGTTCAATTGTTGCTTTAGCTAATCATAGTTCTCTCTTCCAGCCTACGCTTACATCAGACAACACCGCTTGTCTAAATATTCGTTAGTTGGGCAAATGTAACGCACATTACCTAAATGACGTAATTTAGCTAAAGGTAACTGAGCCTTTTGTATCCGTTCTGAGATTTCGTCAGTCAACAGGCCATCAACGCTGATGAAGCTCCCCAGATAAATGAAGAGGTCAACACGCCCGACTACTTCACTCCCTATCACTAGTTCAGGTGCCGATGCAACCCAATCTTGAAGCAAAAATTTTGCATTTCGAGGATGAGAACCGCATCCGGAACATGCATTGTTGCTTAGGGTAGTCAGAAGACTCTGCATTTTGTCAGAGTCTTTACCAAGTAGAACTATATCATCGGTATATTAACAGTCAACAAGCGAAACTCCTAGTAGAAGGTCGACTCCTGAAAAGTTAGACGTAGATAATGTTAACTCTTAAAGCATGTTTATGACAAAGTTAAACAACAATCGGAAGGGTGGACAACCCTGACGAACACTACTGGAGGTAATCAATCCCGAAGACAGTTTGTCATAAGCTCTGACTCGACCGGTGGTGTTCGTGTAGAGAACCTGTATCCGATGAATGTACCTGTTTGGTATATATTTCACTGACAAACGCTGTCACAGAACCGCATACGAATGCTCGCCGCCTGGCGTTTCCGAATATAATACATGTTTATATTCACATAAAATAGTTAGTATATGATAAAGAACTGAGAAGACTGAGGCAGGCGAGGAAGATTGTATTATGCAAATTTATACTCTTAGTTAATTAAAAACGACAACATTACTACATTGAACACTCTATTTGCACACCATCTTTGAGTCGTGACTTCCAACGCTCCATCCTTCTTCTCCGATTGTTTTTGTTGCTTCCTTTCCTTCCTGTTGGTACTCCATTTACCTCTTGCTTTTTTGCTCTATTTGCTTTCCGTTTTCCTCTTCTGACCGTGAGACTTCTTTCTTGTCCCTTTTTATACTACTTATATCGTTCGTATAAGTAGCACACACTACAGAACCATAGTGTGTATGCATGTTAGTTATGAGTTGGATTCATACGTGTATAGCCATTCTTAACAATCGGTAATATAGATTATTTGTTTTTTAATGTACACATAGGTTGTAGTCATTGCTAAATCATCGTAATATTACGTCATGAGCTAACTCTCATTAGATTATCATTGATAAGCAAGAAGATTTGAACAGTCAGGATCTACAGACCTTATATTGTCTGGTCAACAGACCCTCACTATCTGGCATAGATACCAGATAAAAATAACCCGTGTATCTTGTGGATGATGGCTTTCGTGGTTCTCCAAATTTTCACTTCTATTGGGTTCGTCACTAAGTATGCTTGAGGCTATTATGAGTTTACCAGCGTCCACGTAGGCTATCTTAAATCCCAAGTTGAAGATAAAAGGCTTTGTAAGCTTAGAAAGTATATTCTACAAACACCCAGCAATCACACAATACAATCAAGCACACAACTCTTGTTTATTTATACATCATTGAAACGTCCTTGGGATAATTACGAAAATAGCACACTAAAATACGCAGCAGCCAATCATACAGCTATGGATTTTCCTGGTGGGAATTGAAATCTCAAAGGCAACTGATCAGCCCATGCTCGCAAACACGTGAAATCCAAGATAAGTCATTTATCAAGCGAATTTCGGGGATCTAACATCCTCAACAACTTCATACTATATAAGTGTTTTAACGTGTGTATTGAAAATTGTAACTTTGGTGTTGATTGATAGTTGTTTTGAGTTACAGTTGTAGAGATGCTGTCTATTCTTTGCTGATCCACGCCTTCACATCTGCCTCAGATCCACCTTGCTCATCAATGAGCCTGCATAGATATATAAAGGTATTTGAAAGTTCCAAAGCTTCTCTATGAAGAGTCTGCTTTGATTGGTGCATGTTGTGTTGTGTTGTATCGGAGAGAGTTTCGCGTTTCTCTTTGTGTGTATATGTTAAGACCCACTGTCGCTGAGGCTGTTACTACCATTGATCGACATCTCCTGTATATGATTGTGTTAGTTCGACATAGATGGAATTAAAGCATAGCTACGTTGCTGCGCGCTGATTGGCTAATTTCCTATCCAATCAGCGCCTGATCGATTCTTGGAGAATAGGGTAGATAATTCTCGTACTGTTAGCTGCGTGCTGATTGGCTAAATCTATTTCAGTCGATCACGTGAACTTCTATCCAGAAGCTTTCCATGTAAATGTTATAAATAGACTAACGTTGTATCTATTTTTGGCCTTCGCCATCACCTTTGGCTTCTTCTTTCCATTTAACCTTGCTATTTGGAATATAATCTTTTCCTGTTCAACCGTGTTTTTTTTATTCTTGGGAACTTGTCCAGTGTATTGTTTGTGGTCAAAGAATACACTGAGCAATAGGATTTAGCTGGGAATTATCTAAGCAAGCGTTACAACAGATTGAAATTTAAAAATATCAAATAATACAAATCCACCTAATTTTCTCCTTCCTTTTTTTTAATTGTTGTATTATTCTAAAAAACATAATGATAACATACTTTTGAACATTGAACATATTTTGTTTGTATCAAACAGCAGTGTGAGTGTGTGTGTGTGCGCGCGCTTGTTTGTTTGTTTGTTTGCGTATGGATTTCCTTACCGCCTCGTTTCCTTATTCAAATTGAACGTCAAATATATGTATACACATATATATGTGAAGAATAAACAAGGTGTGTTTCTATTGAACACAATAGATATTGAATTACATAAGAGTAGAGTAGAGTAGAGTAGTTCTTTGAATCCTATATAGAAGAATGAATTATTGATTTTTGCCTTTCAAAGTTATTCATTGAAAGTTAAATAGTGTGTATTGTATGCTTATCGATGAACGCAATTTGAAATACAGGGCAAAGCTCGAACTCGATTCTTTTTTGCTGCTTACAAGTTAATTGATGAAGTCATTAGGAAGCATAATACACAGGATTCCACAAGCAGCTAGAACGGACGAATTAAACATAATATCACAAAATAATGTACTAAAGACGAAAATGAACATTCAATTAATCTTCTTGGGTATGAAACATAAACTGAGAAATTCAAAATTTCCGCTAATTGAAATAGGTTATCTCAAGTGATTTTTGTGTGATCTAACATCCCTCAATCAGTCAGTCATTTACAACGTAGAACTTCGTACGTAAGTGTATTAGTTCATGTAGCCATACCACGTTAGCACAGAGACACAATCGTCAATTCCAATCCCATTGTAGTAGAGGTATGGCTAACCACCGATTGCCTCGACGAGCTTTGTTTGGTAGTGTAGGAATAGGTTGGAAGAAAGTTAGGGGCGGCCAAAACAAAATATGGCACAAATCCATGAAATCACTGACAAATGGACTGAGTCATGTTGGTAGATGTAGGCTATCTGGTTGGGGTCCGCGAGACGAAAGTCATCGATGGTTAGAGACCTTGAATAACATGGCTCAAAATCGTTTGCAATGGCGCCAGTGCATTTATTCTTTGTGTTCTCTCAAATCCTAATCTGCTGGATTCATCAACACCTCTATCATTGTCTTTCTAAACTTATTTCACTGAATCATACTTCTTGAATAATATCTTCTAATCCTAACCTCTGCGATTACTTCTAATACCTTTACTATCTCTTCTACTATTGGATCTGAATTGACAATTACATCTCTGTGCTGAAGTGGTATGGCGACATGAACTGATGTACTTACGTACAAAGTTCTACGTTGCAACTGACTGACTGACGACTGCTGCTACTCGAACCCCGGCCTTGTATGCGAACGCTTAACCTTTGGACTTCTGGGTCGGTATCTGGAGATGTTGCGCGACCTCAACTAACTTGTCTTTGGTAGTTACTGCCTATAGTCAACAGAGTTGAACTGTACAAGTCACGTCTGTTCTCACTAGAACTCCGAGAATTTCCTCACGAAGCTAGTCACTAGTGAGCACATTGTACGATTTTTCAAAAAATTTATATTCTTCTGTCTACTGGTTAGCATATCAAAATTTCCTTTTTCTTAATTCAGATGATACGCAGTCTGTTGGCAATATGGATCCCACCAAACTTTCAATACGTCGTAATCAAAAAGATCGTTTCAATGAACCAACAAATCGATCAAATCGACCGCCTAATACAAACAGTACTACTACTACTACTAATACTAATAATAGTAGTACGATGAATGACGATTTCATTACTAATCAACATGTTATCGGTATTAAACATTTACCAGAAACAATGAAACAATTTAATCTTTCTGAATGTCGTGTTTATATACGTGGTTTATCACGTCCTGAAATTGTCTCGTCATTGTCATCACCAGCATCGTCAGCAGCAGCAGTAGCATCAGCCGCATCGAATACTCGTTATCCATACATCTCATCGACTAACACTGCCACAACACACTCACCTATGATGATGACATCAACAACAGTGCCAATGATCAATTTACATGCCTCTCATTCAACGAATCATTTACCAGTAATGATGATGACGACGACGGGAACCACGTCGACAACAGCAGCAGCATTGTCGACTCTATCTCCATCCACAACAGCTGTACGTGATATAAATTATCGTAATAAAATAACCAATGAATTAAATCAGTTAATGAATCCATCTTTACAAAATCTCATGCCATCAGCATCGCCATCATCAGCAGCATCAGCATCAGCGTCGTTGTCGTCTTCGTTTGGTTCATTGCCACAACTTTCTACACAATTTATGTTTAATGTGATTACGGAGATAGTAATTAATAATGGTATACATAAACAAATAGCTAAAGTAGCAAGGTTAGAAAAATGATTTTAAAGTTGTTTACCTATTTTTATTTGCATTATACTGTATTTCAGTCAGTCAGTTGCAACGTAGAACTTCGTACGTATGTGTACATAAGTTCATGTTGCCATACCACATTAGCACAGAGATGCAATTGTCAATTCAAATCCTATAGTGATAAAGATAGTAGAGGTATTAATGCTAATGAAGAATATTAGTAGGGTTTGATTTCAAGATATTATTCAAGAAGTATAATTCAGGGAGATAAGGTTAGAAAGAGAAAGGTAGAGGTGCTGACGAATCCAGAAGATTAGGATTTGAGAGAACACAACGAATGGATGCACCTGCGCCATCGCAAACGATTTTGAGCCATGTCATTCAAGGTCTCTAACTATTGATGAGTTTCGTCTCGCGGGCCCAAACCAGGTAGTCGACAACTACTGACATGACTCAGTTCACTTGTCAGTGAATTTATGCATTTCTGCCATGTTTTGGTTTGGCCGCCCCTAGCTTTCTTCCAACCTACTCCTACACCACAAAACATAGCTCGTCGAGGCAGTCGGTGGTTAGGCATACGTAAAACATGTCCCAATCACCTCAAATAATGAAGTTTCACCACTTCATCTATTGATTTGCCATCCTTACCTAGCACTCAATTCCTAGTAACAGCATTGCTCACTCGGTTGTCCCACGGTATACGAGCAATGCTTCTAAGACACCTATGATCGAATACTAGTCAGATAAGTGAAGTGATCAACACGCTCGACTACTTCACTCCCTGTCACTAGTTCAGGTGCCGATGCAACCCAATCTTGAAGCAAAATTTTGCATTTCGAGGTTGAGTACCGCATCCCGAACATGCTCGTATTGTGGCCTATGGTATTCAGAAGACTCTGCATTTTGTCAGCGTCTTCACTGAATAGAACAATGTCATCGGCATATTCTAGATCAGTAAGCGACTTTCCTGGTAGAATGTCAACCCCTGAAAAATCTGTATTTACAGATTGAATTTGAGCTCTCTTATTAGGCTGGAACATGTATTTATTTAGATTGTTGCATATCAGTTAGATCGTTTGGAGAACAGTTCTCTGACTAAAAGCAGGAACTGGAAGGTACTGCTGACTAACTGTACAAGGGGTATGACAGCAGTAAGAAACCAACTAGCATCTGAAGCGATGCTACCTTCTTATAACGGAAGGAAGGGACCTCACCACGGATTTCTGTTTCCATCGGTGTGGCCACTTGAGGGAAGGGAGCCAACACTTGACAGACTTCTTATAAAAAGGCAATGCGTCACCGGCCTGAAGCAGTTGTCTCTGTGGTCACACTCGCAAGTTACGAAGACCCAACTCTAGTTCAACTCCTTTGTCAGGTATCCTCTTAGAGTTAACATTAAGCTCGTCAGATTTTTCAGGGGTTAGCCTTCCACCAGGAAAATCGCTTACTGATCTAGAATATGCCGATGACATAGTTCTACTTGGTGAAGACGCTGACGAAATGCAGAGTCCTCTGACTACCCTGAGCAACAGTGCATGCACGTTCAGGATGCGGTTTTCCCCCTCGAAATGCAAAATGTTGCTTCAAGATTGGGTTGCATCGGCACCTGAATTAGTGATAGGGAGTGAAATAGTCGAACGTGTAGACCGCTTCACTTATCTTGGGAGTCTCATCAGTGCCGATGGCCTGGTGACTGACGAAATCTCAGCTCGGATACAGAATGCTCGATTGGCTTTTGCCAACCTGCGTCACTTATGGCGTAGGCGTGATATCCGTTCGCTAACCAAAAGACGAGTGTATTACTACGCAGCAGTTCGTTCCGTTCACCTGCATGGCTGCGAAACATGGCCGTTAAGAGTAGAATATGTTCGTAGGTTACTAGTATTCGATCATAGTTGTCTTCGAAGCATTGCTCGTATATCATGGGACACCCGAGTAAGCAATGCTATCGTTAGGAAACGAGTACTAGGTAAGGATGGCAGATCAATAGATGAAGTATTGAAACTTCATCAGTTGAGGTGGTTGGGACATGTGTTGAGTATGCCTAACCACTGACTGCCTCTACGAGTAGGAGTAGGTTGGACGAAAGCTAAGGGCGGCCAAACCAAAACATGGCAGAAATCCATGAAGTCACTGACATGTGGACTGAGGAGTCATGTTGGTAGATGTAGTCCAACTGGTTGGGGTCCACGAGACGAATGTCATCAATGGTTAGAGACCTTGAACGACATGGCTCAGAATCGTTTGTAATGGTTCAACTGACTGACTGACCTTTGTCAGGTTCCTCATGAATTAACCCCCAAGGTGTAAGCAACCAGGAAGTGACATCCACTCATCATACTCCTAACAGTGCAGCAGCTCAACTTGCCTTGATAACATTTGTGTATTAAGGAGTAATGAAGCATTTGAAATATGAATGAATATCTAGTTAGAAGGTATTAAGAGAGGAGGACTATTCAGAATAATGTAAATGGGCGGACCCGGAAAAAAAAGCACATATTAGTAGAATAAAACGAAATGTAGGCGAAATTGGATATTTAAAATAAAACAATTTGTAAAATCGATACGATTGAGTATCTCTAGTAATGAAAGCGTAGGATGAGATCGATACGGATAAATCTCTCTCGGGAACATTCATAGTGGATGGTTAATTACATAGAATTAGCAATTGGACTTTATGGTAGATGTTAGGATATTCATCCAATAATATCCTAAGAGAATTATTATTGGTCAATTCTTATTGGTTAATTCCTATTGGTCAATTTTATGATCGTCCTAGTAGATATCAAGTCACGTGCTCCAATGTTGTTTTCTTATTGGTTGTCTTGACTATCAATGTCACTTCAAATCTGGCTTCCTATTTGTCGTCTTAACTGTCAATGTCACAGAATTCGATGCTGTTCCTTGTTCGACTTGACTATATAAATACGCATTATCTGTACCGTTCTAGGACCAGGATCCCTAGTCCGGGATCCTGATTCTCTTCTGGACTAGGACCTTGTACTTTCTGGATGCTTGTAGAATACAGATTCTACTTCATATCAAGTCTTGTCTTATTTTTACTCAATATGGTGGTTGGGATAATCGGATTTGAATAGCATGTCGTGTCCCCGGATCCTCACTCTCGTTTTCCGACTAAGGTAAACTCGTAATAGTTCAAGTATATCAAGTTGATGTGTTTATGTGTAGACGTAACAATGGTCACGGATAGATCGATCTCTAATCAGTGATTGGACTATAGTATTTCAACTTAATTTATATGAAGAACAGCATATTATCAACTAAACATGTAAGGTTATTATTATCATTAGGTCAACCAACAAATTCAATCTAATTCATAATTCTATAATTGTTCGAGTGAATCAATGCATGTTATGTCACATCATATATATATATATATATAAACATGTTCGGAGCCGAACAGCAAACTACACAAACCAAAGTTCAACCAACATTGTGAATGACTATTTATGATAAAGTGATAGAGATTGTTGTTTTTGCATTGAAATCGTGAATCGATCATTGTTAGACGACCGTTAAAAATCTGGAATCACTGGATGGAAGGCTCAAATGCATGAAGTCATTGACAAGTGGACTGTGTCATGTTGGTAGATGTAGACTACCTGGTTGCGGTCTGCGAGACGATAGTCACCGATGGTTAAAGACCTTGAACGACATGGCTCAAAATCGTTTGCAATGGCGCAAGTGCATCCACTGGTTGTGTTCTCTCTAATTCTAACCTTCTGAATTTCTCATCATCTCTATCTTTCTCTTTCTAAATTTATCTCACTCACTTATACCCTAATCTTCTCGATTACTGCTAATAGTTCTACTATCGCTACCATTAAGTGATTTGAATTGACAGTTGTGTCTTTGTGCTAATGTGGTATGGCAACCTGAACTGATATACGTACACGTACGAAGTTCTGTGTTTTATCTGTCTCTCTGGATGGATGAATGGACGGATGTATTGTTCTAGTAAGAGACTCATCAGCAGTGTGCATTCACGATTCACACACACCTATATCAAACTGCAGTATTTTCGGTCACGATCTCTTATTTCAAATTCATAATCCATTACCAATAAAAAAAACTGGCAAAGTCTAATGCAAAATATGTCGTTTCAAATTATAATATGTAGGAATCTCAGATTATTTGTCATACATACGTTGAGATAATGATCAACCTCGTCAAACTGCATAAGGAAAGAACTTTCGTTCTTTGATCTCTGGATGTCTTTGATTGTTGAGTTATCATTGTTCTTACTTGCAAACAATACCATTGTGGTGCGAGCTACTTATAAGTAGTATATGACGTGAGTGTCAACGTAATGTCTGGCAGCAGAAGATGGGAGAAGATCAAGAAAGGAAGAGTGGGAACACAATGGAATTTGTATGAAACGCATGAATAGTGAGTGACAATGGATTGATGATATTTTGCAACAGGAACAGTCTAGTTCTATATGATGAACTGATATTTTGCAAATTAACCGTTTATGATATATGGTTTTCCTATTTTATACTGAGTAACTCTGTAATTTTCATTAAATTCAATTCGGTTGCCCCACCTGTGTTCTCGTTCACTACACCATCACCATAAAACTTCACAATGGGAAACTATCCAGCTCACAGTGAGCTACACAATTGCGTCACCATCTATCTGAAAAAAAAAATTATTTATTTTTAATAAATAATTTTATTATTATTATTATTATTATTTTCTCCTACTCCTCATGCAGAAAATATTCGGAATTTTATGTACTTGAACAAAAACTCATTGAATTTCATGGTTCATTTATTACGAAACAATTACCAAAACGTCAATTAACACCACGTACAATGGAATTTCTTGAAAGTAAATGTGATGTATTTCAAAGTTATTTACAGGTAAAAAATATTGAATATTGAACATTATTTATTGTTTATATGAATCGTTGATTGTTAAAGATTCAAT